TAATATTCATAAACAATTAGGCACTTTAACCTATTTCTTTTATGTTCAAATAATATTCGTTAGCAACTAGGCACTTTAACCTATTTGTCTTTAATGTTTAATAAGCAGTTGAACCAATTAAACTCAATAAATTCTGGAATTGAATTATTTTTTATTATTAAAAATTGAGGTTTTTATACAAATTTGGCAAGGTGTAGATACATAGAACTCCCACGATAATGTCCTATACTTTAAGCTGCATTAAAGTAGCGATTGGATATTGTTCAGCTTAGTCGTGGGAACGGTCACAATTCTCATGGAAATTGTATGCATTTTACGAATAAGAAGTGAGGAATATTACTTGCGTAGTTTCCTTAGCAACCTTGTATATGCTTATAACTTTATTTTCTTTCAACCTTGAACTAAGTCCATATACCAGTTTGCTTTATAAACGTAACTATTATTTTAATAATTATAATACTGACCTTGCACAAACGAATTTTCATTTCTCATAATGTTCTGTATTAAAATATTGCACATTCCAAATGCATGGCTTATCTGCAGTTTCCTATGACGAGCAAATTGTGCTCGTGTGATATACAAATGTTGTTGTTGTTTTTGGTAAATGTTGATGTCTTAACCCACCGTTCAAGGCGAAGACATCAATTCATTAACATTATGAGAATAAAAATTCGCTTTGACAAATCAAATGCTAGAATAAATCTAATTAAATAAAAATGAATGATTCCTTATATATTATGGTATGTTGATCATTATTTTGTCCAAATTGGACATTCTGGCCCCGGTTAACGCCAATCAATCTGCTACCTCGAACTCGGATGGTGCATGTTGCTCCTGAACTCGTCTCCGTGGTTGTGGGTGAGGAGTACCAAGCCTGCGAAGTATCTATTTCTTCTAAATAAATATCGATCGATTATGCTGCTGAATATGAGCACGCTGACACCACGTGCCATATATTCAACAATGAAATTATGTTGGTCTGCGATAGTGTATGGTTTGGCAATTCTTCCTGAGACCTTATCATATTTAAGGATGCTTTCAACTCAGTTATTTCATCAGTACCTATCTCCGTGGTAATGTTTTCCAACCTTAGAGATGATTGCCGAGGGATTGATGTCACTATTGGGCTCGAATGAAAACTAGTGTGAGAATTTTTTAAGCGAGTGGTCATTGTGTAGTGGCTGATTATTGTTGCCGTGTTATGTGTGAGTATGCACCCTGGTATTGTGAGTTTAATGATTATTTTATTAAAGTTTACGTTTTGCAGTTTTTCCATGAAATATGTGTAGTGCACGATCTTAGTTGATCGTACATTTTCCTAAAAATAGGCAAGGTATGGCAAATTATAGTAAAAAACGTAATAAAGTAATTGGGACAATTCTAAGGCCGAACATTAGGTTTTGCATCAAGTTTAGGTATATAAGATGAGTTCAAATTTTTGAAATGGTCTGTTTTGTATTGAGTAGTATTTTTACAAGTTGTTGTGCGCTGTTGTGAGCGTTGTTCTGGAATAGAACACTAACGTGAAGATTGTGTTGTGCTATCAAATAAAGAGCTTAACTGAAGTTTTAAAACATTATTTACCAAATTAATGTTAAGGACTACCTAAAATGATTATTGTGTAAATTGTTAGTTATAATTGTGTTTTCCGTTTCAACACAAATGAATGAGTGTTAAACATTAATTATATATATATATATATGTAAAGAAATTAGGTACCTATATTTCTTTAATTTGTATATTGTTTTCAATTCCGGTTCGTTTCAATTCAAGTCCGGCGAATGATAAAAGGATTCTTATTGTATATCGTCACATACCGTGTTTAGCTTTACAGGTTTTTTTGAGACTAACATCCAATGATTTTGTGCAACAGACTGGATCCATAAGGTAGTACTTGGGAAACTTTGCCAAGTGCAGGATGATGTGCTGTTATTAAATAAGTTTACTTCGCAAGTGCACTTCCCTGATTCACGAAAATATATTTCTTGCGTATCTGAACAGATGTATATATCATTTTTTGAAGCCACACATTGTGACAATTGTATTTCTGAAATCGGAAAGTATCTGTTTCTATGAGTATTAAATGCCATCATAGACGTGATTAGTTTGATTGTCACGTTTTCTCCGTTAATGATCCCTGGAACATGAATAACCATGAATAAATCAAAGGACTGATCATTAATTAGTGGTAAAGTTATTTGAAACAACATTTTAGTATCAAATAAACCGCTGCTGGCTGTCATAGGAGAATATAGTTCAGAAATGTTGCTCATGTTAACCGGCAACTGCATTGTTGACCTGAGATGTTCCCTCATTGTGGTAACCTCATTTATGAAATGCTTTGGCGTCAGGAGAAGTGGGCTGATTTTTCCATGATTTGTGTCGGTCAAACTCCTAAAATTGCTGATTCGTTATATTGAATACTTGTTGCTACACTTAGTTATTGAGTTGAAATCGCAGTGAAAAGTTGGATGGAGTTTTAAATTATAAATTTACTTGTCCTCTTCTATCATCTTCACTTTTACATCGTTCAATCGCTCGACTGTTAATTCAAAGGTTGTTTGATAATGCTGCTGACTTTGTTTCATGATATTTATGGTAGAATCTAAAATCGAAGTTTGGTTTTTAAGAAGGTCAAGCAAATGTTTGTCATCATTTTTTAGTTGTTGAATCATTTGCGCCATATTTTTAGCGTCTCTTCTTTTTTTTGTTGTTCTGCATTATGTTTGCAGATAACAATTTATTTCTTGCTGGCTTGAACTGTTCAACTAACGTCCAGCAGTGATTCATGCTTTCATTAACTTACATACGTTCGCAATGGACTTAAGTCATAATATGCTATGATTTTCCATTCCTCTTGTTATCTCTTGATGACTCCCTTGTGTTCGAAATGAATGCCTTATGTGTTATTAACCCATTTCGTACCTCCGTGTGGTACACCACCCGGCTAACTTTGAAAATTATTTAAAAATATAAAAAAGTGATTAATTTAATGTTTTATATTTTTGTTACTCACTTTGATATCTTAATATAAAAATATAGATTTCGAATTCCGCGTGTCTAATTGTGAGATGGTATTTAGGTACTATTGAAGTTGTATACGAATCAAATGCACAAGATTATGTTGGTCTTGCCTGAGTCGTAACTATTCACATTGGAACTTGTATAACCAATACGTTTCGGTTATAAGCTATAAACCCTTTCTTTGGATCGCATTGGGAATAGAAGCAAAAAGGGGTGGTGGCCATTATGGGTACAATGTTTAGATAGTGCTGTAGTAAACGTTTGGAAACTAAATTGGTTTGTCGCTGCTTCTACCAACACAAAACCGATGCCTCAGTTAGACTTCAAGAATTTCATTGCCAGAAACCTTCGTCTTTCATCAAAGAACTCAATGTTCATTACAGAAGCTACCGCTTACGATGATTCGAAAAAGAAACTCACAGTGTATCAGAATGTGTTTATCTTCCGGAAAACAGGTATGCACGCTCCCTTAAAAACTCAAAATCGCCACCGCTGTATTATTTGTACACCAAGGGACACAGTTTTTATATATGAAAATTGCCATTTAAATGGTCATGTAGAAAATTGCTTTAAATAAGATATAATAAGAGTTTTCTGAAAATTTCACCATAAAATGCCAAGTTTGAACTTGCCTGTTACTTAACGGGTTAAACGGTTTTATGATACCTAACCCTGATATCAGTGGTATCCACAATAGTACCAGCAATGCAATGGCAAACAAGTTGACGTTGAATTTTGCTCGATTTTTAGGCGTTTCTTCATCACATCTATCAGGTTGCATCATGGGTGTTGAACACTTTTCCGACAATAATGATGCTAGGCGATGTATTTTGACATCTTCAACACTGATTCTTTCATCGTTGCCGGAATAGCATTTAGTAGGTATATTATCCAATGCCTCGTCATCAGCTTAGCTGCACCTGCCACAGGTTAGGGATTTTTGATTACCGTTGCTGACTTTACCACTGCATATCCATCCGAAAACCGTGTTCTGGAGTGTTGGTAGATCCTCACCTATTTTGATTTGACCAATCAATAAAAAGCTGTGATATAATTCTGCTCCAATCAATAGGTCAACTTGATTTTGATTCGCGAAGTCTGGTTCAGCCAAGATTATTTTCTGAGGAATTGATCAACCAGAAGCGTCCAGACACTGTGTTGGTTGGGCTGAGATAATTCAAGGCATTTGATATTTACATTAAAATCATTAATTCCAGACTGAATTTTTGTTGCCACACTGTATTTCGTGTCCCTTTTGCTCTTACCAATACCTTCTATCCATAATAGCGATGAGTATAGCTGCAATTTTAATTTTCTTGCCAGTTTTTCTGTGATTAAGTTTATTTGCGATCCAGAATCTGCACTCAATGAAATCAAATCATCCAATGTAGCTATTTTCATGTTAACTGTACTAAGAAAAACATATCCCTTTTTTGGTGATAATCCCGTGATTACAGTAGAAGGCTGATGGCCGGGTTTGAATCTACAGATGAATCTACAGATGAATCAATAATGAATTGTGATTCCTGCTGCACTTATTGCAATGCCTACTTCTGCACTCTGTTGCCCTGTGGCCTGCTCGAAGGCAGGTCAAGCACAGTTTAAGTTTCTGTACTATCTTAATAGAACATTGTGGTGTTGGCTGCAAGAATGTTTTGCAATAGTATAGTGGATGTGATCCCTTATTGCAAACCTTGCAATTTGACATGATTCCCTTTCCCATGGCTGTGGCAAGGGTTTTAGCTGATCACGGCTTCTCCCTATGGCCAATCGCCTCTAAGGACTGGAATCTTGATTCCAGAAAAATGATGAACTCCTTAATCGACTAAACCTCTCTTGGATGAGTCAGCGACTGTTCATACAAAATGCGTGTCTGCTTATCTAATTTGAGGAGCAAACTATAAAGCAGTAGCGGCAACCATGAATCAGTTTCGAGTCCCACATTCTTCAAGGCCAGCAATCCTTCAAATGTAACATCATGTAGTGTTCTTATTTCTCCTTATATCTTCTGAAGGAGTGGTTGATATTGTAGGTTGACTTAAAATCCTTTGAATAATTGTTGCTACAATAATCCTTTTGTTATGATATCGTTCTTGTAGCAAGTTCCACGCCGCTTGATAATTCTCGTTGGTTATTGACAGGTGTCGGACTAAACCTTTTTCTTCTCCTGATAAACTACCTTTGAGGTACCACATTTTCTGCGCATTAGGAAGCTGCTGCTTGTGGATCATTTCAGTGAACAAATCATTGAATTGACCCCACGTCAGATAATCGCCATCGAATTTCAGTATGGTTACCTTAGGCAGCGATATGCCTGCGTTGTTTGATTTATTGATTTTTTGTTGTGATTGTTTATCATCTGTCTTCCTTACAAATTGCTATACTCGCGCTATGTTGTGACTGCATCGGTTGACGTGTTGTTGTGGCCGACTCTTTTGAGGAATGTGTAGTTCCAATAGCTGGAACATCTGTGTGCCCAACCTTTGATGTTGATGAAACAGTCATTATCTCGACTATTTCCTCTTGATCGAATTTTTTAACGGTCATTTCAAATTGCCGACTGTACAACTTGTAAAGATTCAGGATCTCTTAATAATATTCCTTTTTTATGTAGTCGTGTTCGACTGAAACAGGATCAAGGTTCTGAATTTTGTTGTCAACTTCATCGAACGATTCCCATGCTAAGTTTTAACACCTTAGTCGTTTTTCATAGTAGGCCTTGGTCTTCCTTGCCTAGCCATACTTCTTGAAGTTTTTTATGATATCCTGGATTTCAGTACCCGTCTCCACCTGTTGATTGGTAAGCACCTCCATGGTCATCAGAATTTGATTGTTGATTGAATTTGATTTTTGATAATATCAATACGTGACTGATCACGACTTTGTAAGGCCGGAAATTTTGACACCAAATTTTCGCCTACATAAAAACTAGGCACTGAATTAACACAGGTTATTTTAAACAATAAAAGAGGAAAATTGTGATTTTTGGTTAATTTAATTTTATTTATTTACCATAATTTGATAATTTTATTTTAACTAAAAAAAATTATTTTTATTGACGATTTAAAGCGCGTGTTAGAATAACAAACTGTCAAAACAAAACACGACGAAAACAAAGTCAAAAGCACAGCGGCTTCACGGCAAAGATCATAAACACAGCGGTTACACTGCACAACCCATTGGGTAAACGAACGGGAAAATTTAAAATACGCTAGAAGAAAGCTCCGGGGTATGGGTATTTAAGACAGCGAAATTGTTAAGGAGACACGAGTTTATGAGGATTCGTCAAGGTGGTATTACGCCGAAAATATTAAAATCCTGAGTTGGTTCTTACAGCAAAGGAAATAAAAGTATATATGTCTATGAACCATATATATCAATTGGAAATTATTAAGTCCTGCGTTGGTTTTACGACAAAGGATACAAATTACATATGTCTATGAACCATATATAACCATAAGAAATATCTTAAATCCTGTGTTGGTTTTACGGCAAAGGCTACAAATTATATATGCCTATGAAACATATATAACCATAAGAAATATTTTAAAATCCTGCGTTGGTTTTACGGCAAAAGCTATAAATTATATATGTCTATGAAACATATATAACCATAAGAAATATCTAAAATCCTGCGTTGGTTTTACGGCAAAGGCTATAAATTATATATGTTTATGAACCATATATAACCATAAGAAATATCTTAAATCCTGCGTTGGTTTTACGGCAAAGGATATAAAATTATTTGGAGGAATACAAGAAATCGCACGGACATATTATGAATATTCCGTAGTGTAACCTGAGAAGAACTACACGCCATTCCACGACACCTGTCCACAGAAATCACGGCGTTCGCCCATCAAATCCACGGCTGTCACTCACAGAATTCACAGCGTACGGCACAACTAAGTATCGCCTGGATATACGAAAATCTTCGAAGTAAAAATATATAGCACTACATATACATCCTTTTTTTTATGTAAACAATACATATCGAGTTTTGTTATTTTACTATAATTTTATTCTTCTACGAGTTATATTTAATCAGCTCTTTTATTTTGAAATCACGTAATTAAAATAAATAGCTTTCGCACTATTATCGAAATAACTTTGTACAAACATTTGTTGAAATAATAAAGAAATAAACTTAGAAAATTTAAAAATATCTTTCTTTTACGAAACTCGTCCCCGCGAATATAAATTCATTGTGATGACTCTGGACGACGGCTGAGGATACCCCAGCAAAAACTAAATATTTTTGAACGTCACTAAAAAGTGTCGTTACAACTTCTAGTTTGAATGTTGATGTTGGACGTGATGTGTCACATCTTCTAGTTTGATTGAATGTTGAAGTTGGACGTGATGTATCACGTCGGGCTCACCAAAAATGTTCAATAACTAGTTTGTTATTGAATCTGAATCGATACTTGAATCGATTAAGTATTGCTTCTGATTAGGAACCCGGCACTTGAACCAGTTCCTATACTGAACTCGGTACTTGAATCAACTTCAGTATATTCAAATAATATTCATAAACAATTAGGCACTTTAACCTATTTCTTTTATGTTCAAATAATATTCGTTAGCAACTAGGCACTTTAACCTATTTGTCTTTAATGTTTAATAAGCAGTTGAACCAATTAAACTCAATAAATTCTGGAATTGAATTATTTTTTATTATTAAAAATTGAGGTTTTTATACAAATTTGGCAAGGTGTAGATACATAGAACTCCCACGATAATGTCCTATACTTTAAGCTGCATTAAAGTAGCGATTGGATATTGTTCAGCTTAGTCGTGGGAACGGTCACAATTCTCATGGAAATTGTATGCATTTTACGAATAAGAAGTGAGGAATATTACTTGCGTAGTTTCCTTAGCAACCTTGTATATGCTTATAACTTTATTTTCTTTCAACCTTGAACTAAGTCCATATACCAGTTTGCTTTATAAACGTAACTATTATTTTAATAATTATAATACTGACCTTGCACAAACGAATTTTCATTTCTCATAATGTTCTGTATTAAAATATTGCACATTCCAAATGCATGGCTTATCTGCAGTTTCCTATGACGAGCAAATTGTGCTCGTGTGATATACAAATGTTGTTGTTGTTTTTGGTAAATGTTGATGTCTTAAGATCAAGTCATTAACATTATGAGAATAAAAATTCGCTTTGACAAATCAAATGCTAGAATAAATCTAATTAAATTAAAACAAATGTTTTTTAATATATGATGTTGGTCAAAATAATAGAATAAATCTAATTAAATAAAAATGAATGATTTGTTATATATTATGTTGATCATTATTTTTTCCAAATTGGACAGGTGCTGCTCAAAGTTCTGTTCATTCGTTGCTTTTGCTTATTTTCTCACTCAATGTAATCACATGCATTTTCAAATGAATATTGGTTTGCTCTTGTCACGATTATTGATATTCGTCATATAACAATTTTTGAAATCGAAATAAACAGAGCCAACACACAGTTTATTTGTGCTCTAAAGACTTACAAACATATTTTCTGTTTTTAATTTCATGTTTAATCATTTTTGCTTTTAAAATAATTTCTTATATATTTCAATTACATTAGTTTACTCAATAATGTTGAGTAAAAGTTATATTTCAAAAATTTTCCCTAATATTATTCTCTTTCTTCTGACAGAGTACCTCTAGTTTAACATATGAATGCTTACGGAAGATGTGGTTTTACTACCAATTCAATATTGTTTTGTTTTTTGGATTCCTCCCTCTAGTAATTCGAGCCAACATGTTTAGGTTTTGTTTTCTCTTACTTGTATTGTTGTTGGTTTAATTTTACGTTGGTGATGTGGTTTCTACAGCGGGTGATTTGTCAATGGTGGTTACACAGTAAAAACGTAGATTTTGTGGTGGTTATTTTGGTGGGTCCTTTAACAACTGGTTAAGACGTATTTAATAACTCTAGCAGCAATTCAATACTGCCTTGAGTCTAATATAGTGCTGGCATGGAATTTGCCATGCTGTTGCTTTTAGTTAGTCACATAAATTTTGAATTTCCAATTTCTCGCTAAGGGTTATAGCACCGTTCTTGTGTGGTGAGCGCAGTATGAAGATTTTGTAAAACATACTTAAAATCTTACTGTATCTCGTTAGCAACAACGGTGCGATTAGTACGTTCAGTCCGATTTTCTTGTGGGATATACAAATCTGGTGTTATTTGGTTAGCTAAAATAGATATTTCAGCTAACCTGGTGCTCACCACATTTTGTATTTTTATATTTGCTGAAGTATGTAAAACTGTCGGCTTAAGGTCTCTGCAATATAATTTATTTTGACCTTAAATTGTCGTGCTAAATTCCGCGTACTTGTCTCTCAAACGCTCCTAAAATCATCTCATCACTGTTAGTAATTGTTCAAACTTCTGCAGCATATAGCAGCACAAGCATGATAAGAGATTTGTAAAGCGTGATTTTTCTTTGTCGAGAGAGAATTTTTTTTACTTACTTAGTCCGAAGTAACATCTGTTGACAAGAGTAATTCTTCGTTGAATTTCTAGGCTGATGTCATTTTTGGTATTTAAGTTGGTTCCTAAATAAACAAAGTTTTTCCCAACTTCGAACTTATAATTGTTAACAGTGATGTAGGTCCTAGGGCGCTCAGGAGATTTGTTTGTTAAGAGAAAGTACTTTGTTTTGTCCTCATTCACTACAAAAGCTATTTGTTTTGTTTGATTTTTAAGTTGGAAAGTGCCGCACTGACGGCGCAGGTGTTTAGGCTAATGATATTAATATCATCGGCTTACGCTAGCAGCATTACACTTTTTTTTTAATATTGTGCCAGTGTGGTTTAAATGGAATTATCATTTAAAAGTAGTCACACGACAAGTAGTCATTCTCTTTGAAACCTCGTTTGGTATCAAACGGCTCGCAGAGGTTCTTCTTGATTCTAACGGAGCTGGTGGTGTAGCTCAATGTCATTTTATATAGCCCTATAAGTTTTGCTGGGATACCAAATTCAGACATAGCGGCATAGAAGATGCGTCTAGTCGTAGTGTCAAAAGCGGATCTGAAAGCGACAAATAGATGATGTGTGTCGATTTGTTTTTCTTGGGTCTTTTCCAGGATTTGACGCACTGTGAATATTTGGTCTATCGTAGATTTGCCAAATCTTGAGCCACACTGATAAGGTCCAATCAGTTTGTTGACGATTGGCTTCAATCTTGCACATAGTACGCTTGACTGAATCATATGCGATATTCAAAGACCGGCTGTAGTTGCGCAGTATGCAGGATCACCTTTTTTGTGGATTGAGCAAAGCAAACTTAAATTCCATTCATTGGGCATGTATTCTTCCCATCGTATGGTGCAAATTAGGTGTAGCATGCATTTTAATAAATCTTTGCCACCAGCTTTAAACAGCTCAACCGGTAAACCAACAGGACCTGCAGCTTTATTGCTTTTGAGTCGCATTATAACTGTTTTAACTTCATTATGATTAGGAGGCGGAACAATTATTTCATCGTCAAAGATTATAAATTCAAGATCATCTTTGCTTTCGGTCAC